TACTCCAGTATCCATCTCAAGGAGCACCACCAATCGACGGTTGCTATTTTATCATAAATGAACAGATCTTATCCGTTCAAAAGAGCGGGAAAAACAACAGACGAACGAACCAGATCAAGCCAAACCCTAAAAGCAGCTTGTGTAAGAAGATAAATAACCAGAAAACAATAGAGAGAAGGCGAACCGACTGCATAACTCGAAATAAACACAGCGAAAAGAAGGGGATAAAAAAAAGGTGAAAAATGGCACCAAAAAGGAAACCAACGGACTCCTCAAACTCCGCCCCCGTCGCCGCCGCCGCCATTGTTACCCGCCGCTCCCCCCGCCTGGCCAACACCACGGCCGCGCCGCCCGCAGCGGAGCCCAAGCCGCTCAAGATTAAGAAAGCCAAAATCAAACCCGCCCCCGTTCCTGCCGCGGAGGAAGAAGGTGCAGCCAAGTCCCCTCCGTCTCCGGCGAAAGAAAAACCGGCGCCGGATCTTGTGCCGGAGTCTGCCGACAGCTCGAAAACCATCATCATCGAGCACTGCAAACAGTGCAACTCCTTCAAGACGAGGGCTATTCAGGTCAAGGTTGAGCTGGAGAAGGAGGTCAGCGGGGTCAACGTGGTGGTCAACCCGGAGAAGCCCAGGAGGGGATGCTTCGAGATTCGCGAGAAAGGCGGCGACATTTTCGTCAGTTTGCTGGATATGAAGAGGCCCTTCAAGCCAATGAAGGCTTTGGACATGGGAAAGGTCATCTCTGACATTATTGAAAAGATCAGATGATTGATAATGATGGTAGTGATGGTGGTGATTACTGTGTTTTGAATCTGGGTTTTGTTTTTGGAAGTTTTAAGGGATGGGCACTCATTTTGGTACTGTTTGAAGGGTTGGTAATGGTCTATTAGGGTTGTCATTTGTCAATCTTGGCTGTTTTTCTTGTTTCTTTGTTGTTGGGGTTTAATTTTTAGTTTGTCTTTCCATTTTGTGCTGCCTTTGGTTCCAAAACAATGCTATTTCTGACCAGTGCTTGTTTCTTGAATGTGCGATTTGATTGACTGCAAGTGGTTTTAGCATCATTTATGAGAATATTTCTAACATGGAAGTTGAGAACACCATTTTTTGGTGTTTTAGTGAATATTTGTCAACTGTATGGAGAAAGCTGTCTTCTGCTTGCCAGAAGAACATGTGTATTTTCTGTTTGATGGCAAGATTTGCTCTCATAATCGCTGTTTGCGTGATCCTGTCGTGCATTAAACTATAATGTTCGTTTGTGTGAAAAAACTATATGTGGATCGAGAAAAGCTTTGTCGATTTTGCTATCCTTATATACGCAAATAGTTTTACAAATTACAATATTCCTTTACAAGTAATCTTACCAAGGTATGAAATTTTTTATCATTTAGCCAATGCAAGCAGAGCAATTCACTGCTCAAATTTATCATGCCTAAACATTGCTTACAATAACAAGCTTGTAAGAAAGTCTCATTTTTTCTCAAGTTACGCAGGTAATGGAAGGTGTTAAAATGACAATAGCAGTGGTTGAAACCGGCATATAGAAAGTGAATATCAACTTTTTTTTTTCTTCCAAACGATAGAAATGCTCATTAAAAACAAAACAGAGTACATAAACATCATACAGACCGAACAACTGAAAACTGAGAGCACCTCACGCATGTGGCCTAGAACATACAATCGAAACCAAGGTGAGAGAAAAACCACACAACTACCAAAGGAATAAAGCAGTTACACTCAACTGAAGCCTTTACCCCTTCGACCAAACAAGAACTCAAAGCAAAAACAAAGAAAATAAACTAACTCTAAGAGACCTCACACCTTGTACTCACCAAAAACGCATGCCACTCCTGGATTGCTGCTTTGATGATTAGATGCGCAGGTCTCCAAATCTTCTCAAATAACCAAAGGTTAAGAGACTTCCAGAACCACAAAAGGATGTAATTTTGAAAGCTAGACTCTAGCTTCAAATGCCTCACTCCTATCCAGTTGGCAAATCTGCCACCACCAAGTCAAAAGATTCCATTCCTTGAGACCCTACCCAGTTCACTAGTGCCAATTTCCAAACCTTTTTAGCTTGCATGCAGTGAAAGAATACATGATCTATTGATTCGCCTGTGCCTTTTGAAACTTCCTCTATCAGCACCCTCAGTAATTTTAGCAGATAACAGTTCAGAAATAATGATGAATAGATAAGGGGATAGAGGATCCCTTTGTCTAATTCCTCTGGAAACAGTCACTAAGCCACAAGATTTGCCATTTATATTGAAAGAGAAAGAAGAAAATTGGATGCAGGCCATGATCCACTTAACAAACTAAATATTAAAACCCATTCTTAGCATAGTCCATTGGACAAATGTTCACTCCAAACTATCATAAGCTTTCACAATGTCCAACTTCAAAGCCATAAAACATTTCTTACCATTTCTATGCCTATTCAGAAAATAGAACACTTCATGCCCAATAACCACATTTTCCAGCAGTTGTCTACCAGGCAGAAAGGCAATTTGGTTCTCATATATGCATACATGGAAACACTGTCTCAATCTCATGGCCAAAATCTAAAATTCATTTAATAGAACACAACACACAAGCTTATGGGTCTAAATTTACGGATTGAAACAGGATTATTACATTTAAGAACAAGAGTAATCAAAGTGTGTTTCCAGTACCTCAACATTTGTCCTGAATCAAAGAAACTCCTCACTGTAGTGCAAATATCCTTGCTGATGATTGGCCAAAAGTGCGAGTAGAAAAGCCCTATCATGCCATCATTCTCTGCAGCTTTCTCAGGATGAATACTGAATACAACTTTTTTTATATCAGCTTCATCAACAGGAGCAATCATGATGTTGTCCATATCATCTGTGACTGATTCGGTAATTAGAGGTAACAGTTCATGGCCATTTCTTGAACCCTGAGACGTGAATAACTTTCCATTACAATAAGTGATGGTCTTCTCAATCTCCTCCTGGTTCTCACTTAGTTTGTTCCCCTAAGCCAACAATTTATCAATAGAATTCATCTTCCTTCTTTGGATTGTACAAGCATGGAAAAACTTTGAGTTCGTGTCCCCTTCTTTAAGCCACAAAGCTCTTAGCTTTTGTTGCAGTATATCTTTTCAGAACAATTGACCTCATCCAGTTCCTTTTGAATTTTATCCCAAACCTCCCAATGTTTGTCCCCCTTTCCTGTTTCATCTCCTCTAATTTCAATGAAAGCTTTTCAATTTTAGAAGCATTCTCAGACCTAAAGTATTTACTCTAGATCAGAAGGGCTTCTCTTGTTTTTTGATCTTCTCTTTAACTGAAAACATAGAATTACCTCCTACTGTGGGTACCTCCCAAGATTTTTGAACCACATATTCACCCCTTCTTTCATGACCCATCTCTTATCAAATTGAAATCTTTTCTTTTGCCAGTTAGGACCAACATTAGAATCAATAACTAACATACAATGATCAAATGCACTCTTAAACCAACTAGAGGCTTGGGTAGCAAGAAACTTTACTGTCCAGTCCAGAGAAACAAACACTCAGTCAAGTTGTTCCTCCACAAATCCTTCTACATCTCTCTTATTTGTCCAAGTGTACTGAAGCCCTCTTAAGGGAATTGCCTGCACTCCCATCTGAGCCAAAAAATTATCAAACCCCAGAAGCTCCTTGCTGGTCTGCATCTCCTGCCCTTCTTATCCTTAGCCTTACATATATCATTCCAATACCAAACATCCCCCCAACTAGGTCTTCCTTGCAGAAGACAATCCCACTGCATTGCTCTCTCAACTTTACAGGTGCTGAGATAAATAAAAATAACCCTATAAGGAACATCTTGATGCATCTCCTTAAACTGCACAACTATGGAAAAAGACTTACTAGAGATCTTTTAGCATCTCTACATCATAAATCCAAAGCAACAGAAGCCCACCACTAGTATCTCTTGGCTCAACTACAAAGTGCCTATCCACAAAACCCAACTTGCTGCAAACTTTTTCTGAAAACTTTTTTTATTTTTTTAACTTCAGAAATAAAGGTAAAGACATGATGGATCTTCAAGGATTCCTTGATCTAGAAAATTCTAGAGGGTCCACCCAAACCTCTACAGTTCCACACCAGAACCTTCATTGATACTTTGAAGGCTCGTTAAGGCTGGCCCTCCCCACGTGACTCAAATTTACTTTAGGTTTCTTCTCAAACTACTCCAAAAGAATACCTCTCTAAATGGCAAGATCCACTTGAGAGTAGCCATCCAACTCCCCCGCGCGAAAAATTGGTCCCGACACAAAATTGGGGTCGAGCCGCACTGCCTGGAACTGGCCACCGTCAAGGAGCTCGACGACCCCGTTGGAGAAAGGCGAGCCGAAAAAATGTTAGGTTTAGAAACAGAGAGATTGGGGAAAATTCGAAGAGCAAGAAAATATCATGTCTTGAACCCAATGAAACTTTACTAATCAAATTTCCACCTTGCGCAACAGTAAACAATTAATTGTTCTTTAACACTATGTTTGGTTCGAGGGAAACTGAGGGGAGGGGAGGGGAAGGGAGGGAATTTTATAATTTTCCCTTGTTTGGTTCAATTTTTTGTAGGAGGAAGGATTGATATTTTCCCTTCAAATCCCTCCTCCAAGGGAAAATCTCCTCCCCTCCAAAAGTGGAGGAATGTGGAGGGGAGGGAAAATTTTAACACATAAAATGACTATATTATCCTTTATGTATAAATTATTTTATTATTTTGTTTCTTACATCATTAAGGATATAATTGTCATTTCTACAATATTTTCCTTCCCCTCCATTATTCTAACCAAACAAGGTTTACCATTTTCCCTCCACTCCCCTCCTACAAAATCCCTCCAAATCCCTCCAAACAAGGTAAAATTATTTTACATCACCTCCCCTCCCTTCCCCTTCCTTCCATTAAAATCCCTTCCCTCCCCTCCCCTCAGTTGAACCAAACATAGCGTAAAAGAAAAAACCCTAAACCCTTCGAAAATCATTCCACCATTTCCCGAATGCATCTTTCCTCCATCTTTCTCCGCGAGCCTTCAAAGGCTCTGTACAACCAACTCGTCTTCCTCCGCCGAATGGGCGGCGGTCCTCGAACTTTTCCGGGCGGGCTCAACAAGTGGCAATGGAAACGCATGCACGAGAAAAAGGCACGTGAGAAAGAGAAACGCCTTCTCGACCAGGAAAAACAAGTCTACCAGGCCCGAATTCGGTCGGAAATTCGGGCGAAGCTCGCGTCGACTGATAACCTCGTTCCAAGATCGGTAAATACTGACCGTAACCAGCCCAATTACGGCCCCGTAACGCCCCAAGACCATGTCAAGGCTCTTGCTGATCGATTCATGAAGGAAGGAGCTGAGGATTTGTGGAATGAAAACGATGGTCCTTCAGGTTTTCCCGAAAATAAGCCCGGGAAAAGCCAAATTATAGGTGAGCCTATTGATTTACAGACGTTAGTTATGGAAAAATCGGCTTTTGATCATAGTCAGACAAATGACGATAGCCAGTTTCACAGAAATGTAAGTACTAATGTAGCTAAACGAAGGCATTTTTCTACATATTGTGGGAAAGGTAGTAACTTGATGGGCGGCTTACAAAATGAGTATCTTAGGTCAATTAGGCATGGCTTTGATTTAGCGGGTTGTCAGAGGCGTGGGATATTAATGGGTGTAAGTAATATGTTTAATTTAGACTGCTACTATTCGACGAGTATAATGGGTAAACAAAGACCGAATGTTGCAAGAAATGGCCAAAGTTCGGTAATTAATTCTGGTCGGGAAGCCAAAGTGATGTCTGATAATGGGAAAAGGGCTAAATGGCCAAGATTCCGTGGAGGTAACTTGGATTCGTCGGATGATGATTTCAGTGATGATGATGATGATGACGGTGACAAGTCAAATAGTAGCAGGAAGATTTTTAGTAGTAGTGCAGCATTAGGGAAACATGATGTCAAAATCAAGAAACGAGTGCCTTTGAATTTTTTGGAAGATGAGGATGATCTATCTCAGCAGGTTGAGGCAATTCGGAAGGAAATTAGTCAGAGAAAGAGCGTGCATGAAGACGGAATGGAGAGGGACGAAGCTGTGTCGGTTCTTAGTACAAAAAGGTTTGTGGGATTCATTTGTGTAATTTTTAGTGTATTCTTATTTGAGAGGATGAATTTGATCAGTAATGATAAAAGTGTGATCGGTTGCTCTCAGGTTTGATGAGTGTGGTGTATCTTCACTGACAGTCCAAGCACTTTCAGAGGCTGGTTATGTGCAAATGACCAAAGTCCAAGAGGCGACTCTTTCTGCCTACCTTGAGGGTCTGTTGGCATATTTGCCATCTCTCTTTTTCTCTTTTTCTTGGTTCCTACTGTTTGCTTTGATTTCCAAGACCAAAAACATTAGAGAAAAAGAAAAATCCATAGCTTCTCTAGTCAGCCGTTAACTAGTGCATGCTCTTTCGATGCAAAAGTTCATGTATTCCTTTCACATTTCTTCTGCTTGTTATGTTTAGTGTTTTAGATTTTATAATTTTGTTCTGTCTTACCATGAATTAGTCATGGCTTTTGTGTGTTGCATTGCTGAGTGTATGATTTTTTTTGGTCTAAGTGAATGATGTTCTTTGAGAATCTAGAGAGACAATGCTCTGAATTTAAGATGACATATTGTTTAGCCAGAAGAACAATACTAGAACTGAGGTTAATTTGATAAGAAATTTCCTGTGTAATTAACTTTGTGATTGATGTGCACTTTTATATGGCGATCACATGGACTTAGTTACATGACCGGAGGTTGAGGGTCGTCTCAAATTTTCCTTAATGATCTTATCAGTAAATGCTGCTTGCGTTACTGCACTTCTTATTAATCACAGTGAGCATTTTCAGATAATTGTCCTGGAATGAGTTTTAATCTTTCTGTAGGCATAAAAATATCCATGAAATAACAGTCATGAATATCATTTCATTTGTGTACTGTCACTTACATATGTACATGCAGAGTTATTAGTCTCAGAAATATCGCAATATATGTCCACGAAGAAAAATAGATGCATTTTTTGGTCTTAATAGTTAGGTTTAAGCTGCAAGAATCTCACAATCCCCTGTTTCTGACCCTGGTAATTATTGATGCTGTTTCATTTTAAATGAAGTTACACTTAGATTTTGGTTGCTCATTTTTTTCTTTAATCCCAGCAGTTACAGATGAGGAATAAATGATTGATAAATTGGTGTGACACCTAGATCATTGTCCCCTGATTAGTCTATTTCATTGTCCCTCTTCCTATTTCAGTGATCTTCTTCCTCTGAAACATGCTTTATTCAGTCGTCTTTTAATCCTATTTGTTTATTTTGGCTAATCTTTTTCTCAAAAATTTTTATGTAACAGGGCAGGATGCTTTAGTCAAAGCTAGGGCTGGCACAGGCAAGAGTATTGCTTTTTTGGTACATCTCTAAACTATTTTTCTTTCTTTCTTTTTTTTTTCTTTTTTTAATCAATACTTCTGTTTATATTTCTCATTCTCCTGCTAAACACAAACAGATTCCCGCTATTGAAACAGTTCTGAAGGCATCATCAAGTCAATGCAAACCTCAGCGAGTCCCACCAATATACGTTCTCATTTTATGCCCCACTCGAGAACTTGCGAGTCAAATATGTGCAGAGGCAAATGTTCTCCTCAAGCACCATGATGGCATAGGCGTGCAGACATTAACTGGAGGGACACGCTTTAAGGTTGATCAAAGGCGCCTAGAGTCAGAGCCGTCCCAGGTTAGTATGATTGTAGAAAATTGGTTTCGTGGGGAAGCAGTTTAAAAAAAAAAAATAGGGATAGTTACAGAAACTGCTCTCAAGGTTTGGCCAGATTATGAGTTATGAGAAGACACCAGCAAAAAAACCTTTTACATTATGACAAAAGTCCTGGAGGTCACGTTTGTTTTTCATTCTTGCATTTTGGGTGCTGTTTTTATTTGCCTTATTGGAGCTAACATAAATTGTTGAAGATTGACGTCATTGGATTGTGTTACTTTTTTATAAGTACATCCCATTACTTACCGAAATATTNAAAAAAAAAAAAAAAAACCTGGGGCTATTGGTGATATTTTGAAATGTTAAGGGTCCTGTTGTGAAGTGTGATGACATTGACAAGTTGAAGTGGCGAAATGTAAGAGGAATCAGAACTCGAGCGGGTCTTGTAGCATCCCAAGTTATTTCTTTTTCTTTTCTTTTTTTTTACTGCTTATTAGTATTATTTTTTTGGATTTTGTTTTTGTGGTAAACACCACCAACCTTAGGATGGTTTCTCTAATTATCCCTAAAATCAATGGGGGAGGTTGTTAATCCTGAGTATCATCACTCTATGTTATCCGTGTTTATAATCGAGAGTTTGATATCTGCAGATACTTGTGGCGACTCCCGGTAGATTGTTGGATCACGTTGAAAGCAAGTCTGGCATCTCAGTGCGTTTGATGGGACTCCAGATGCTCATACTCGATGAAGCAGACCGCTTGCTGGACCTAGGGTTTCGCAAGGACATGGAGAAAATAGTTGATTGTTTGCCTCGCAAGAGACATTCTTTGCTGTGTTCAGCTACAATACCAAAGGAGGTTCGAACTCTGAGCTCTTTAGTTTTCCTTATTATTTTTCTTTCAATTGTAGAATAATAATGTGTTTAAAAGGAGATCCTTTACTCTTGATTGGGGAATTTTGTAATTTCAGGTACGCCGAATATCTCAGCTAGTGCTCAAAAGAGAGCATGCTTATATAGACACTGTAGGTCTAGGGTCTTTGGAAACTAATGAGAAGGTACACTTAATTAA